ATCGACCATTGACCAATCACAACTTGTTAAATATTTCTGCTGCATTGCACAAAAAAGAGAAAAAAATAACTGCAACTGTAATTTTATAAATAATGAATACATAGACGATATACTTATAGCAAGGGTCCCCTTCTTTTCCAACTTTCGACTACAATACAACTGTATGCCCTCTTTAAAAATGCAACAGATAAAGGAAAGGTGGAGCGCAGCTTCCACGAACTGCTGCCGTGAGGTTGAAATATTCCGCTGCTGGGGAGGGGAAGTAAGCGTAACTGGGGATTCCCTCCGTGCTGAGGGATCATGAGGAAGGAAGACTAAGACGTATCGTAGGAGTTCGTCACGATGGAAACACGAGTGTAAAGATCACAGTTGGCGCCTGCCAACTGTGCATGCAAGAAAGCGCGGGCAGTTCGACGACGACGGTGCAGGCATACAGATGAGTTACAGAACGACGATACAAGCGAAGAAAAATGCAATCAATTAAGCGAGAAATTGTTTCTTGTAACCGAGGCGAGTACTTCACAATATTACATTACACTATTTGTGTTTATTATTTTTACACTACACTTTTAACGTAATAAGTTTTATTTCATATTATGTCGTTTAGTTATTTTAAGATTCTTAATTCCAAATTAATTTTTTATTTTAATATAAAAACGCTGATTAAATTAATCTCTCTTAATTAAAGACGTTTATTTTGGTCATCATTTTGTTGTTTCGGTAAAATATCGATCTAAAATATCAGCAATGTATTAATTTATTGCACTGGCCTTATACACTACAAGCTAAATAAAAGAATCGCGAACAGGTTTTTCGGTAAATCGATATGCTTCGTTATCCCTGCTTGTCTACACTCGTACACTTGATGCAAAACTCGCCTCTTTGAATAGGAAAATTGTTAATCGTGTAAACGACTGACGGTAGTGAAAATATCTTTCTCTCTTTCTGCACGCGAAGTTATTAGTGGCATACGGTAAGGCATCAATACATGTGTGTAACACAGACATGCATGACGCCGAAGCTTTCTCGATTTGCAATATAATAGAAGCAATTTCTGCCGTCATGCACGAATATCATGCCGTAATAAAACGATTAGAGAACTGATAAAGAGCAACAAGCTGTACGCCAAACAGCAGTTTAAATTGTCCGTCAAATCCATTTCTTCCAGCCCCTCGGTATAGTAGACTACTACGATGTAATTAAGCATCTTGACAAATTTAAACGACGATTAATGTCGTGATCCAGTAAAATCTGCACAAAACGGGGCACGGCACGTTGGATTAAATGCTAAAGATACGAAGAACAAATTTTTTAGAGAAATATACTGTACTCGTTATTGCAGCAGTTATTTTCACAGCAGCGAGAAAGAAGCTTTTCTATCAATGATTTATAAAGCGTCGAACATCAGTGCTCTTTCTTTGATCAAAAAGTATCGTGAATATTGGAGGAGTATCGCTGAAGATTGGAACGCAAAAGCGCTTTGCAAGCAATTGGGCATACACGATTAATCAGTACAGTATAATAAAAAAAGCACTTGCAAATGTCCGATTAGAAGTTGTGCACAACAGCCATGTTAAGTAATTCAAGACTTGAAGATGCGGGCTGTAAATGTCAAAAGAAAGCAAAATGGCAAATGTTTGTTTTACAGTACTGCTTTTGCACCATAGATAAATCAACTGAAAGCTTTGGGAAAAAAGGATTTAAGTGAATTTTGTTTTATCAATAGTTATCATGAAGTCTAAAACAAGAAAGTTTTTCGTCATAATTTTTTATTTTGCAATTATGCCTATAATAGTTCTTTTTTTGTGCGAAAGGAGATGCAAATAGTAAAATAGTTCAAACTAGTCGCAACTCGTGGGAGATAAAGAAGTAGTAATATTTACCATATTTTTTATTCACTATTGTTTCATGTTATAGTTACAACTATTATCAATACATCACTCGTCTTCAGTACATCGCCAAAAGTACAGATATATACGACAACGATGCCTTTACTACCTGAAATATTATTATTTATGATCTATAATCCATATCACATATATGTATGGAATATTCGGAAATTAAATAATACAGTAATATGAAAAGAAATATAACTAAATTACAATATAATAACCAACGGAAATTATATGAAGCTGTTTGTAATTTAATGCGGTGTAAACATAGCCATGTTAATTTTTGCAACTTAAGTTATTTCGATAATTAATATATAAGAATAGTGAATTTCGTAAATAATCAAAAAATAAGAATACTGAATTTTGTTTTAATTTGTCTATTGTTACTATAAAAAAATAGAAAATTTCTTTAATATTAATTAAGACTTTTAAAAAATAATTATCATGATAAAGCTTGTTAAAAATATTTGAATTTTACGTAACGTTACAAAGCAAACAAATGCAAAAAATATGTATAGAGAAAACCGGGGCACCATGAGCCACGGGGTACCATGGGTCATTGACTGTTTAAGGGTTTAGGGCAATCCAGAATGTTTAGGTTGATTCAACTAGTATCATGTGACAGTTATTTCGTTGCCCATATCTAGGTGGCAGTCATCAAAGTCTGTAGTCTCAAGACGCACGTGACATAAATGGTTTTCATGATGCGTAAATAACTTTTTAACCATTTAGAAACGTTTTAATATTGTTTTTGTAGTAAAATATACACGTACTAAAAATTAAGTGTAACTTTCTAGCATCTTTTGTCATTTTACTACAGTACAGATAATCATATATCACTTATTTTTTTTATTACGTTTCACCGTTTTCTATATTAAGTGCATTCGGGGCACCATATGGGACACTCAATGCTGGGGCACCATGGGTCACACATTAACCTATGCATGCCATCGAGAATATTGATAGATAAAGATTTACAGTCAACAGCACAAGAAAAAGAAGTAGCTGATGAGGTCCCAAACCAGTTTAAAAGTCCCGCAGAAATTAGAGGCTATCCAAAGGCAATACATCAGTATGAAACTAGAAAACGTAGACAGCAGAATAGCAGCAAAATTTTGACTGATTCTACGGAGAAGAAAAGCTTAGTAGAAAAAAAAAAACAAGAAGAAAAGAAAAATGAGACACGGAAGAGAAAACCAAACAAGTAAAAAGACGTTCTTACAGTTAATAAAGAAAGGGTAATTATGCATAAAAGGGGCCTCGTCTCCGATTTGCTTTATTTTTAAATATGTTGTTGGAGATGTCTTTCCGAGTCATTAGATATATATATATAAACTATTTGAGTCCGGCCCTTATATATATATATATAAGGGCCGGACTCAAATAATTTCGGAGATACAAGCTGAGAAAAAATAATTCGTTATACGTAGAAAGTTACAAACCTATATAGAACAGTACTCTCCACGCAAAACAAGATTCACTCCCACTACTATTTATTGTATATATAAATATGTACTTTTCATATACTAACCATTCTTTGCTTTAACAAATTATTTAACAAATCTTCGCCTTACTAAATAAATGAGTCTATCATATACTAAAAATATTGATGCTGAAAAAATTAGCGAGGCTCCGTACGCAAAGTAGGACGTTCCATTCACCCGACATGTCAGATGTCTATATCTATTAAATCTTTGTCTTACTAAATAGATGAGTCTACAATATACTAAAAATAATGGATACAAGAAAGATTAGCAAGACCCTTACGCAAGGTAAGGCGCTGTCCTTCTTTTCACAACCACCCTCCCTACTAACAGTACAAACGCCTGTTTCACGACACTTTTTTCTACCAAATTAAGTCTTGTTTTTGTAATAAATGATGGTGCTTTTGCAATAGAAAAATGTTATCAAAGTCGGGGGGGCTCCGCGATAGTAATTCTGCTCAGTACGAGAGGAACCGCAGGTTCAGACATTTGGTTCACGCACTCGGTCGAGCGGCCGGTGGTGTGGAGCTACCTTTGTGGGATTATTCCTGAACGCCTCTAAGGTCGTATCTTCTCTAGTCAAAAGTGGCAATGATATCTCTAGGAGTCTCGTGAGTCGAAAGGCTCAAAACAATGTGACACACTTACTAGAGGGCTTCGCCCCCTGGACCTCCTTTCGGGGGACTCCACCCCCTGCCCCCGCCGATGGGTTTCGCCCTCCTGGATCTCCCATTGGGAGTTTCGCTTACAAGTACATGCTAAGTTGTAAAGCGAGGTCCATACTAGAGAGAGGTTCCGTACCGGAAAATGACCTTAGCGCTAATTTTCATTGTCATATTCGTAATTAACGATGCAATAGTTGAAAATTTTGAGATTCCTAATGATAGTGTTGAATAAATCATCATCAAACGTTTATTTTTGTATTTATTATTTTTATCTTTTCTCAGCCTGTATCTCCGAAACTAGTTGAGTCCGGCTCTTATATATGTACATATGAAATGACTCGGGAAGACATCCCCAACAACATATTTAAAAATAAAGTAAATCGGAGAGAAGGCCTATTTATGCATAAATACCGTAAAATGTAATTTTTGTTCAAAGAAAACATGTCAGAAATAGATAAGTTTTTCTTCCAAAAAAATAATATTTCAATAGTGGGTAGTTCGGATATCTTGTTTGTCCTGTAAAAACCTAAACAATGTGATAAAAAATGTATAAAATAAAATATATTTTCAACTTTTGTAACATTTTGTTACTTCTTGAATGAATAAATCTAGTTTTTGTGTGTGACCCATAATGTCCCAGTGACAGACCCATGGTGCCCCGGGTATGGGGCACCTTGGGTCATATCTCAAAAAAATGTGTTTTAATTTTTTTCTCAAAAACTAATCAATATTTATCGAATATGCTAAATAAACTTTAAAATATACATTGTGTTTTAACTGTTTAAATAAAATGAGACAAAAAATCTTATATTTAAAGATACTTTTCAGAGTTTGAATTTGTGTGGCTCATGGTGCCCCAATCTCCCCTAAGTAAAATCTTACGCTAGTAAATCTCTCCAAAGAGAGGTCGAAGATCCTTCCGCTCGTGATCGTCA